AAACCAGAGGGGAGCGCAGGTCAGAGGTTGTAAGAGTGGTGTGCATCAGAGTGTAGATGACAAGGGGGCTCATTGTCCTGGGCAGATGTCATTATCACCATGTGCTGTAGATCCTAAGTGAATTAAATGATAAGACACCTCACTCTGCTGCTTGGGAACCTTCCCACCATGTCCTTTCCTATTTGTTACAATGAGTTATTCTCACTTTTGAACCCCAAACATTGCAGCATCTCAGAAGACAGTCATAAATGTTTTTTTTTTTCTGTCTATACCCACTCCTTTGATGATTGTATTTAATTTCATTGTTGTAAATATCATGAATGTATTAATGACTGCCAATTTTTATCTTTAGCTCAGATATCTTCACTGAATTCATATATGAATTCACAACTCAAAATCCCAAACCTTACCTATCCAAATGTAAGCTCCTGACATGCCTTCAAAAACATGTTTCTCTTATACTCTTTACTCCAATAAAGGCTGTTCCTTTCTACCGTCTGCTCCAGAAAAATCATAGGATTGTCCTTGACCTACTCCTGTATCATGATTTCCCAGTTAGTCAATCAATCACCAGAATCTAAATGTTCTTCTCATTCCCATGACTACATAGTTTGTCCACACTTCCACATTACTTATCCAGATCAAAGCACTAACTCCATAAAGAACCTTCCTGCTTCTGTCTACCCTCTTCCCATTCCACCCTGATCTGTCCTCAAACCACAGATAGAAGGTTCTTTTGAAATGTAAGTCAAACTATTTGCTCCACTGCCCAAATCTGCAAATGTTTTCCATTCATTCAGAGTGAATGTCCGCACCGTGCCTGACAGGTGCATGCCTTATCACTGCCTCCTACCACCATGCCAGGATCTTCTTTCTAACATAATATTCATGTTTTATTTTTCAAAGGTGCCAGTAGGAATGCTCCTGCCTCAGAGTCGCTGTTCCAGCTGCAGAGAATGCTTGTTCCCTGATGCTGGTATGACAGATTCCCTCATACTGTAAGGGTTATTCAAGTAGAGTCTTATTCCTTCCCTAAGTACCCTTTCCAAGATCTCAGTTACCCCCAACTTCCTATTCATAATTTTCTCTCCTCTATAGTATTTCATATTTCATATATATTTTACCAATTGATTTTATTTTCCATCTGTCTCACCAAAATGTATTTTCCTTGAAAGCAGGAATTATTCTTTATGTTCACTACTGCTCTTATCAGAACTATTTATGGTGTTGTAGAAGCACAGACCTTTGAGATACAGGGATAATTCCAAGTCATACTACAAGACCGTGTGCTTGAAAATGAGAAACTTTTGGTTATTTACAAAGTATCTTGACACTGGGGTTGTATGAGCAATTGCTGTGGTGACCAGAGAAACGCTTTGAAAGATAAGAACCTTCCCTTCATGAATTCAACCCAGGAATATTGTGAACCACAGTGAAGCACTCACATATTAGTTATATATTATGGAAGAATACAGGATCAGGAGATCCCAAGAACCTTCTATAATTATTCTACAGGTAGAATGTGCTCTCCAGACCAAAGAATGAAGTTCATCAAGCAAAAATAACTCTCCCCGTAACATAAGTTAGAAGAACCTATGCAACTTCACTTTTCTCATTTTCAGATAACCCAGAATAGACTTTCTTTGATAGAAAGGTGGGGGGGGGAGACAAAAGGGAATCTCTATCACTTTAAAAAATATTTCTCAATGTATTTTTAAAATATTTTCATCAACTTTTCTGATTCCAGTGTAGATTACCACCTTGCTTCCTGCACTTAGCATCTAATATTGTCCACTATATTGCCAGTGCTAAATTCTCCTTTTTTTCCCATTAATTCTCCTGAAAAACTTGGAGAAGAGTTAAACTACATGTTAAAGGTGCTCTGTCACTAACAAATTATGAAGCTGCATAGATATGAGCACAGACCAGTGTTTGGCTAATAGTCATAGTGCACATTGGATCCACCATGTTGTACCTGAAGGAAACCCTTATCCCTGCAACTCAGCATCCACCATCTGGTGCAGAATCAGATATCTAGCCTCATTCTACTTCAGTCCACTGGCCCTAGGCATAGCCACAGTGAATGCTTTCTTAAGTGTATTTCAAGCGGTATGGAATTGAGTTTGCTTTAACTCTTCTTTTGCTGGAAAGTCTTCTCACCTTTATGTACAAAGTCTAGCTCAAATGCCACTTTCTAACCACACTGTTTGCTTTCTTCTTGCATCATTTATTTATGTACTTACTTATTTTTCATTCTGTTTTGTTTTGTTCATTTGTATACATGTTTTCATTACTGAATGGAAGACCCTTTGGGGAAGAGTCACTATACTTTATTCCTATATCCTTAAACTTAAGGACATATATCAAGTGGTCAAGGGGTGACTATTTATTAATGGAGATATGATAGAAAAGATATCATTGGCCAAGTTTCCAGGACTTCAGTCATTTATTTTATATTCTTTGGATAGAGCACCATGTTGCTATGCATATGCTATTGTGCATCAAAACTTCTTTCCTTATTTCTATGCAATTGTTGTCTTGAGTAAAGGGCCTTATTCAGCAAGTGTCAGATTTCCTTCCTACTCTCTGGAGATTATGCTGACACAGTATCAACCTGTTTAATACTTCAGTTTGCAAATAACTGAGTTTGATATCCATCTCAAGTAAATATTGTGGGTAGGTATCAGAACTCAAGGTTTGTTCGGTTGAAGCCATCCTATCTACTCCTACCTCTTACATAATGAGAGGTTGGGGCCAAGGAATTAATTTCACTTCCTTCCTTGTGACAATGACCTATAAGTTAGGCTATTGATGTGTAGAGCTAAATTTCCTTTGAAAGAGAATTATTTAGGGGAATTCCAACACCTAAGAGGTTAGACAAAATCAGTGGGACAAACTAAAATACCTGGTAGCTTAAATTAGTTGCCATAGGGGCTGAAAACGCCTGGGGAGCACATGCTCCCTCCACAGGAAGCAGATGCTCCCCAGACACGGCTGGTGTGTGGATCTGTATCTTGTTTGATATGGCTCCATTATTAACAGACCCTCTGGTCCTCCTAAACAATGAGATATTTGGATTTTTACAAGAAATTCCAGGACATTGAATACTTGCAACTAGTTTGATTTTTATTTAACACTCGATGATTTTATTTAACACTCAAGCACATAGAAAACAAACACATTTGCATGCTGTATTCACCTGTAGCTGCTGGACTGTAACCTCTGGATTAAATGAACCCTTACACTTGACCCTGCCAATAGATTCTCTAATGTTGARTAAAAAGTTAACTAGCATGAAAGTTCTGAAACTATTGAACTGAATGATATCTGTTTAAAAGAATCCTGACACAGTATCAGCCTGCTTAATACTTCAGTTTGCAAATAACTGAGTTTGATCTCCAAGATATCAAACTCCAAATTAGCTGAATTAAATGAGGACACCACCACCTTTTGCCCACTTCCTATCCTACACCTAATGAGTGGTTCCAAAATTTGGCTGAAACAAATATTTCACAGGAACAAAGTCAAATTGCCCTACTCTACAAGGTATAATGACATTACCACTAGAGATGCTAAGCAAAGTCAAAGGGCCGAAAACTTTGAAGTGAAAGGAATGTTATAGGACACCTGAGTACAATCTCCATAATGACATAGGTAATGCTGTGGCTTTGGGATTCCCAGCACCATTCACTACTTGTCATGGTCAGTGGAAGAGTAAGAAACATGCATTTAACTTGTGATTCCAACAATCACGTTTTGTTCATATCACTTCATCTTTCTAGAACAAGTTTCTCTATTTTATCTGAGGTCATTGATTGAACAATTTCTTTAGTATGCTTCCAGCTGGGAAGACAAGAAGAATATACAGAAGAATGCCAAAGACTCTTTCTCTCTCTGTCTCTCTCTCTGTCTCTCTTTCTTTCTCTCTTACACACACACACACACACACACACACACACACACACACAGGAAACATTTCATTTCACAACTAAAAATGAGATAACCTTTTGAGCACAAAGAGGAAAATGATAGTTCTAAAATTAGCATCTTAAAATATAAACTACATAATCACTGAAGATGAGATTTTCTTAAAACTGTAGAACAATGAGATAAGATGATAACTGTCATAAGAGAGGAAATTGCAAGAGTCAGTTTGAAAGGATTTGGGGGTGTCCCCCCCACCATTAAGGTTTGCTTTTACACATACCACAGAAAGACTGAAAAGCTCAAATGTTTCCCAAGGGCCTTGTGATCTGTGCTTTACAATGCTGCTGCTGACATTAGAAGAATGTCATTCAGCCCCAAATTAAAATCTGCTTATACAGAGATTTAAAGCATTTATCAGGCTCCACATAGTCATGTCTCTCCCATTTGCATATCATTTTTCAGTTTATAAGATCCTTTTACATACATGCTCTCATTTGTTGTTTCTGAAAACAGCCCTGTGTGACAGAGCCTATATATTATTATAAAGTCACTCTCAGGTGAATTAAAAACATAACCTTCTCAACCTGCATGCCAAGAAGTAATCACCTTTTGTTCACCACTTGAAAGTTCAGGGAGCCCTTTCACTTTGGGCTTTTCGGATTAAGGTGTGACCCTGCTGGGTAGTACAGCAGAGGAAGAGAGAAGAGGGATACAGACCTCTTGCTGGCCATAACCTGCTGCTCAGACTTGAACAGATCATATCAACTGACTATGCCTCAGTTCACTGAATCACTGAATAGAGAAAACTATACCCATCCCACCCTGTTCACAAGGCAGTCAAGATCAAAGTTGATATATAGATAAGGTTGGAAAATACTGGTCTACAAACCTTATCCACCCTGGCCAGTGAGGAATAATAAAGGAATTTCACATGGTCATGCAAAACTATGAGCCTAGATCAAATTGTAAGTCCATGGTGGAGACTCAGAGACTCAGCCTAAGCAATAGGAGCTATCAGCTCATAGAGAGACACCCTGTCTCTGTAAAATCAGCAGCAAGCCACCTATTCTTACCTGGCTAGGCTGTGGCCAGTCCTCAAGGCTCTTCTTTCTTTACCTGGACAAAGGCAGGTAGACCACAAATATAGTGGCCACTGGAGGTATGGCTGGTTCAGATGAAGCCAAACAGGAGAGTCCCCAGTGCTAACAATCCAATCTGATCGGAAACTCACGTACCAAGTTGGCTGAGAGTTAAGGACTCACTCTCAAACAAAAGGTCAAATAAAAGGAAAGAAAATGTTTACAGGGTGGAACTTAACCTGTCAGAGGCAAGGAATTGGGTTTGTGGGTGGGAACTTTCTGGTTCTGCAATGACACACCTCTCCTGTCTTCTCCCTCAGGAAGTCCTGGGTTTTCTTGCCAACTTCCTCTTTGACATCTGACCATGGTGAGCAGGAGCAGTCTTCCGTCCCTTCTTGCATGGCATCTATGTGTTCCCAAGGACAGTAACAGAGCTCAAGTCTCAGGCCTACATTCCTATTAATAATATTCTTCATGATGATTTGATTTATTGGATATTGGTGATTTTTAAACATCACCATCACTTTTATATCATATATGTAGGAGACATGTAGATCAGTATGTGAGAACAGACACATGTACACATGGAATGACTTGTCAGGCTTCCTATTGGAGAATTTGTCATGTGACATTGCTTTATAGGGGTGTGTGTGTGTGTGTGTGTGTGTGTGTGTGTGTGTTTTCTCCTCACACAATTGTGAGCCCTCGAAGGTAATAACTACATCTTCTTTGTCAATACATTCTCCACAATTTCTTGCAGTTGGCAAGTAACAAAGCAGAACAAATGCTGTAATACTCTAAAAGGGAGAAATTCCAGGGAGGCTTCCCAGAAGGGGAGGTAGCAATGGATGTGAGCTCTAAAAAGAGCTAGGGTTTCAACAAGCAGAGAGGATAAAAGTAGATCTATATGTCATCCACACGCTGGACTGAGCCATATTGCCTGATCTAACTGATTCATTCCCCTCTCTACACAGAGCCTGGCTGAATTCAGTTTCTCAGAACTGGTATCTAGGTCATACCACTTAGATCCCACAAAACTATAGAGCACTTAAGAGTAATTGCAAGACAAATACTGTCCCCACTCAGCTCTAATTGTCTTTATGATGGTTTAGGGTGGGGACAAAAAAAGATGGGGTTGGGGGGACAAAGAGAACTGAAATCCAGCCTGGTCTTTGAAGAGTAGAACCAAATGATGCACTTCTGTCTCCAGTATGTTATTTTTTATGGGTGCAAATTAGTTATACCAAAGGGTATATTACATGGTGGCGCATTTATATATACATAAAAGCATAATGAAGCATGCTATTCTAAGGAGCAAAAGACTCTGTGCTCACTTGTTCACATGGCAGCTGTCTAATAAATGTTCCTTCTTCAGGAGCCACTGGATGCTTCCCCAGCTGGTGCTGTGCTGCCATCATACTCCAGCTGTGGTAAAGTGGGGCAGGAAGCACAACACATCCAGGAGAAAGAACATCATAGGGAAAACCTAGCCTTTGGTTCCAGTTCTGCCATCACTGGCATCGGGGCAAGTAGCTCAGTTTCCCCAAGTCTCAGTTGCTTCTTCGGCACAATGAGAATTAAAATTACAGATTGCACCTACCACCCGGGGCAGTTGAGAGAATAAGAAGTGAGATCCTGGAGGTGAGCAGAGCTCCATAAGTTCCAAGCATTGAGGTGGGTATGAAGCACTATTCCTATGATCCACATGAGAATTCACCTTATGCCTACTATTTCTGGCAATGTCAAAGCCTATGCACAGACTTCCTGGTGGATGCTCAACTGCCAAGGAACAGAGGATCACAGAATAAGTTCTCTAGGTATGCATTTAAAGATCATTTCTCTTGGTGTTTTCTCTCTTTCCTCTCCTCTATGATAGTCTTTATAAATTTTTCTCCTTGTTCTTCTCCTTCAATCCTAGTGTCAGTGAGAAAGAATATAGGAAGTCCTAGATGATTAGACATCTTCCACTCCTGCCATTTTCCAGAGGGGGTCAGAGTGACATGTGGACGATCACACAGCTAGTTTTCTCTCTGGCCTCAGCAGGGCTCTTCTCTTACTTACTGCTGGGGCTGGCAGACAGGGAGGGAGGAGCACAAGTATGTAGATACTGATCAGGTAGAAGCCAGATCCACCTCATCCCAGGTCCTCCCCCTGGTTGATCTTGCAGAGAAGGATCAGTATGTATCAGCAAGGGTATCTGAGTACTTTCTATAAGAACATCACCTCCTACCCCAAGCTACATCTTCTTCCTAGGAGCCTTTGGGAAAGAAGAGCTCAATGACAATGCATAGATACTAGTGACTTTTTTTTTTTTTTTGAGGCAAATAGGAACACACAAGCAGGTCACCAAATGAGCAATTTAATCAGCATGAATTTCTTCTTCTCTTGATTTCCAACAGTACACGGCATATGCCACCAGCATTACAACAATTATGGTTAGTTTTCTGTCCCGATACACATCTGTCTACCCTCTTCAAAAAGAGGGGACTCATCTTAAACATCCTTTTAGGACTAGCACAGTAAAATGCTAAGTAGGTACTCAAGAAATATTTGATGGATGGGCAAATGAATAAGCAAATAAATAGCTAACTTATTCTGTTTTCCTTCAAAGCCTTAAGAGGCCTTGCAGATAAAGAGGCGACATGTCACAAAGGGAGAAACAATAAGCCCCTCTCGGATTTTGACAGGGGACTAAATTCAGCCCGAGGCATCTTTTTCCCTCTCTATTTACTGTGGACAATCTGTCCCTTATCAGATGAGCTCAGGGCTGGTGGGAAATATGCATATTTTATTTGAAAATATCTGCTTTTGTTTTGCTGCAGACATTTGTCTGCTTTGCTGTATGTTGTGCATCAGATAGGACTCAGACAAACTGCTTTGGCTTTCTAAATTGTTTTGTTTTCTCCATTCAGTCAGCATTTATCTCATTTCCCTTCCCACATCTCACTCTTATTCCCAAGCTCCAATTGAATTCACAATGAAAAAGAATAATTTCATTGTTACTCAGCTTCACTGAGGATTAGAAAGGGCACAGGCATGGTAGTTAGGCAGCCTCAGATAGAGTCCTCATTCTACCACTGACAAGCACAGTGACCTTCAGCAAATCACTTCTACTATCTTGACCTCTGTTTCTCCTTTGCAAAGCAGGGTCTGTTCTTGACTCCCACAGAAGCTAAGCCTAATATCTTGAGATGATCTGGGCACCAAACTTCAGTAATAGTTGCACCATTGTTCACACACAGTGCAGATGTTCCATTCGGGGCTTTGGTATGAGAAGGCATCTTTTGGCCTGGTGAGGCCATGCCTTACTTGCATCTGCAGGTCCCAATCTCATTCCCTGACCCACTTTCATCCAGAGTGACTCCATGGGCATCTGCTTGTTCAGTGACACAGGACTTGCCTAGAGAAGCACTCTGTGTTTGCTTTTCTCTGCTGTCACCCTCTTGAAGTTCTTAAATGCATTTTTTGTTGTTGTTCTGAGCCTTGCAAACTATGTCACAGGTCCTATCCCTGCTCTTACACCTCTATGTCCCCAAGGTAACAGAAAATTAAGGAGCAGGATGAAGAGAACAATGTCATAACTTTGCCAGTCATTAATGGCAGAGAAGGGCTCCCCACAAGGCAGAGCCTTGCTTTGGAATGCCCTTCGTATAAATATAATTCCGAACAAAACACACAGAGGCAGAGCATGTGCCATGGGCTCCGCCAAAATCAACCTTCCCCAACTTGAGTAGATTAGAAATCTGACTCATGGCCAGGGTGTGGCTCACCTTTCCTGCTAAGCACCTGGGCTCCTCCCTATTCCTAAGGCTCAGGAGAAAAAGAGGGTTATCCCAGAGTGACTGTCACTATTCATCATTACAGAGCTAGACAGGATCTTAGAGCCCACCTTGGGCTGCCCTCACAGCTCATCTTAATTAACAAAAMCTGCACTACAGACTGGAGAACAGACAGAGCCAAGTTCACACACTAAACATGACAGCTCCTGTGCCCCTCTCAGTATGAATTCTCTTTTGAATTACTTCCTCCTTTCTACATCTCTGGGATCAATAGGGAAGAAATGATTTCCCTGTCATACCAATAACATGGATCCATGTCCAGTATAGTGACAAGAAGATCCTGATGCTCACTATACACAGTCAAATTAAGCTGAAAATGACCACAGCAAGATGAAAAGATTACCACTATGCAAAGTTCTCCTCATAGGCCTAAGTCACATGTCACAGCAGGAAAGAAGTTGAAAGAGAGAAGTTAAATTGACAAGTTTTAAACATGTAAATAAACTGTATGAAATAAACTACAATGCAGGTAAGCTYTTGAAACACAGGCTCCAAGGGCCGTAGTAGGGGCATTGGTTAGGATCCCAGGTATTAAGCATCTGTTTATGGGTATGGAGAGAGGGAGCTCTCTGGTGGGTAGTATTCTGGCTCCCAGGAGTAGCTCTGGGGCAACAAAGATCCCAACCTCAAGAGACTTAATAATTTAGACTACACTGATCCTATAAGCCAAGTCATCTAAATTTACACTTGAAGACATCGTTATGTTCTGTTCTATTGAGATGTCTGAAAAATGAAGGGATGTGGTAGACTCCAAGGCCAAGGCCACATTACTAAGAGGCTGGAATTTAAGACCAAGACATTTATACTTAATTTTCAACTTCCTGATATGACCAGGTTTGTTTGCAAACAGCCCACATCACAGAGGGAAAAAAAAGGAGGTGATCCTTTTGTCTGATTTAGCCCCTGACCAGCCATATCCCTGCTTCTACCTCCCCAGCATTAAGAGTTTTGCACATCAATAACACTCTATGACCATCTGAACCAAATACAGGCCCACAGATGGTGACCTATGACTCCAGTCTGAGCCTGGACCTTTATACCAGTGTAAGATACAGGAAAAAAAAATTTCTCCCTGAAGATGGCATTTGATGTACAGTCAATTCCTGGACCACTTGTATGAGAACCCCATGCTAAAATGCATATTCCCAGTTCTCATTCTTGATTTACTAGATTAAAATCTCTGGAAGTGGGGTCAGAAATTTTCTTAAGAAGGCCTGCCA